CCCCTACACTGCTTCACGTTTGGATTTCATTCACTTTTTAAATAGTCAAAGTCAGATAAGGTGCAGATCAGGCAAAGCAAAATATCAAAGTAGTTTTTAAGAAGCAGCTTTGAATGAGGTGATGCTTTCTAGTAAACATGAAAGAAGAAATAATCAGAGAAGAATTAAGAAAACTGTGTACATGTTGGTTTATCCGTCAATCAGTTATTAAATACTGAGATATTTAAGTTAATTTTTCTTTTATATTGTTGTATAAGTAGAATATACAATACATTTATTTTATACACGCAATACTACAGTGCATGTGTATGTTCAAATTGAACTTATTAATTTCTCATCTTGTCCTTTTGTCTATTATTTGTCAAATTTAGATCTTTTGTCATTTTAAAACCATCCTTCTCTGTTAAACTGGGTTGGGGACAGGCATTAAGTGTTGTGCATTGAATTGACAAAGGTGCAAAAGAAAATAAATAATACAAAGGATCATTTTGGATTGATCCTTTGTATTATTTCTGTTGAGTTGTCGTGAAGAAAAAAAACTATAAAGCTCTTTGAAAATGAAAGGGTAGGGATTATTTACCAACTAATTGAGATTTAGATATTTTTCATGGTAAATGGTTCAAGACCTCACATCATCATGTAAGCTAGAAGGCTGTTCATCCAACAATAAAAGTCAGCTCACGCACCGCTACTGACCGGGAAGACCTATTTGCTACGGTGGTGACATATGAATGGGTATGGTTTTTACCCGTGGGCATGCTACATCAGTACTACTCAAAGTGGGAAAGATGTCTCCTTCATATTAACAGTCCATGAGGACAGGCCCTCAGGCAGCCCTGCATTAATAAAAGACACGAATGGGTTCTGAAGTGGCCATCACTTCATTGGCTCTGCAACACTTCCAATAACCATCGTCTGTGAACACAGTTCATCACTGTATTCACAAACGTTTGCTGAAACTCAACCATACAAAGTGGGAATTGTATACAAACCAGATCAAGAATCATTGATGCCTTCTCTTAGTCTGAGCTCATTTAAAATGGAGTTAGGTGACTGAATGGATTGAAAACTGACCTGTGGTCTGACAAGTTGAAATTGGAAATTCTGCTCTGATATCATACATGCAATAAAAGTTCTCTGGAGAGGAGAAGAGGAGAGGAGAGGAGAGGGACCATCTAGCTTGCTTCAAGTACACAGTTCATGGTGAGGAGATGCATCAGTGCACATGGCATGGGTAACCTGCTCATTTGTGAATGCAACAGTTAAAGGGATACTTCACCCATTTGCATTAAGCATTGTATCAGTAGTAAACTGGTAGTATTTTTGAATGGTCGTGCATCCTGCCCTCATTTCCCCCTGAGACTGGAAAGTTCTGTATTTTTAAGTCTGAAAAGGAGCTTCCAGTGACGCAAATATCGCCATATTGCGCCACTGCGTTGCTGCCACACATGACCGGCCTGTTGGCAGCAACCGTCTCACAGCTACATTAAGTGCTAAACAGGCCTTTTCTGCAGTTCTGACTTGTCACCAATGGTGACTGTTTGGGCCGTTATGAAATGTACAATATATAAAACAGCTACAGACATCTAACATCCTTCATCAAGCAAGAATGGAAAAACATTCCACTTTCTAAATGTATTTGTTTTGTTGTCCTTGTGCTATTTTCAATCAAAAATGGGGGTTAAACGGTGTCGGAAATCAAAATAATAATAATTTTCATTTTTTACGCTTTTTTGAAACAGTGTTGCTCTGTATGTGTGAATATATATGTACGTGCATATTGTATAAAAATGTGTTTGTGTGTGCATATACTGTATTTATATACACATTTTATAAATTACTTTATTAATTATATATACATATACATACAAACATATACACAGACTTACATTTTCTTTCTGTTGATATCATGGCTTTTGAGGTGACATATTGTTTTTCTATAATTTAACATCTATTTAACTCAATACAATTTCAAAAGAAATATGTTTTTCATGGTAATGCACTCATGTTCACTATGTGTACAGCCAAATAATAAATTAAATATGTTTACATTGCTTTTAAAAGGCCAACATACTCCAGCCACAGATTATAGATTACAGATATCCTTGAGCTAAGAAAAAATCCTCATGGTTGAAGATACTGATTTAACCACAATCTCACAGATCAACAATCTGCCAGCTCATAGAGTCAGGCTCCAATTCTACAATTCACTTAACAGACAATTTCATCCGAAGCGATGTACATTTTTACTGGAGCTGCATCTTTAAGTTAACCACCTCTACATTACATTTTACCAATGTCACATTTGCAACAACATCTATGCTCAGCAAAACAAAACAATAAGAAAACTGTTGGAGCAGAAGCTCAAAGTAGTGAGGATGCAGAATCTGATGTTTTTTTTGCTGGTCGACAAATCAATCAAATGATTACATTTTAAACTCATGGTATGTTTTCAGCAGGGATATCACTGCCTGTATCCTTTAAATAATACAAAGGTCTTCTTTTGAGTGATGAACTGCTGTGCGGATTAGTGGAAGCCGATTATTGGAACATACTGCACATGATGTTTCCTGTGCAGATAGACACAAGGCCAATCCTATTAATTGGACAGATAATGCTTCAGGTAGCAGCTGCTTTCAATCAAATCAAAAAAGAGAAAATCTCAGCTGCAGCAGGTGTCCCTGAAGCCATTTTTCTGCATGGTTTACGTAAACAGATACGACACAAAATTCATGACTACTGCCTGCTCTGTCCTTTAGCACGAATCTGTAACATAAAAGCTGGTGTCCATTGAGTTGTTCATGGAAACTGCTCCTCTTTGCGCAGCATGCTGGAGGAGTGTTTCATGCGATGCATGGTAAAGAAAAATGTCATCAGTGTATGATGTGGATTAATTTGTTGTACTATTTTCTTTGATCTTCACATCTTCAGGCAGAGCCGTAATGGCAAGTAACTGCATGGATTTGGAAACCGTCAAGCTGTATTCAGAGACCCACCTACAGCAAGATCACAACACACATTGCTGCTGTGTGCATGCTATGTTTTTCATATCTGTTTAATTTACTCTGCAGTTTTGGCAGCAAATGTGTGCTGCCTCATGGGATTAAAAGATGAAGTCACAGCAGAAGTGTGTCAGTGTCTATGAGTTCACTGTAACTGTTTGTCTCCCTCTATTGGCTGACTCATCAATCACCTGATCAATTACAGCATTTCAATTAAAACGTTGCATTGTGAATGGTTCAATTACTGTTGTAGTCATTCTTGATTTTTTAGTCAGTGTCTCAGAGTGTGAAGTTGCTTAATGTTCACCCCCAGAGTTATGTGCTGGAAGTATGTAGAACTAAAATGTTTTTATACCAAAGTAGAAAAATATTCTACTGCAAGTTGAAGTTCTGCATAGAAAATATAAACATACAGATATCCTGTTATCAAAATGCACTTGAAGTAACAAAACTAAGATTACAGTTACTGATAAATTACAATATATAACATTATTATGTATCTTTGTACTGATACACCAACAAGTAACCAGCATTAAATGTAGCAGGTTAACCCTCTTCATGAGTTTCGTTTGATAGTTAAAGTGGTGGGCTAAAAGACAGCATACACATATGAAACATTATGGAGTACTAATGGAAAACTAACCAAAGTCCAGCACTAACTAGTCCAGCACTTAGGTTAGTTGTTGCATATTAGAAGATATAATTTGGTAATCTTACGAGGGGAAATTCAATGTTACATTATTTTCTTAAACATGTTACACACACACACACACAGGCTGAAATACACACACGTGCACAAACAGGATCCTAGTGACATGCAGTCATGGAGAGATGTCAGAGTGAGGGGGGCTGCTCACAGCAAGCGCTCCAGAGCTGGTCAGCTGTGGGGGTGGTCAGTGCCTTGTTCAAGGGCACCTGGGTAGTGCTCGGGAAGTGATCTGGCACCTCACCAGCTACCAGACCAATTTTCAGTCTTGGTCTGTACAGGGACTTAAACCAGTGACCCTCCGGTTCCCATCCCAAGGCCCTACAGACTGAGCTACTGCCACCTTGCTTGTATGAAAAAAAAAAAAAAAGAAAAAAAAAAAACATCAACACCTTTTTGTTATCATAAATCCTTTAATATATGAAAGAGGCATATTTTAACACAATATACAGTGTAACAGACCATGTCCCACAGTTTTCATATACAACATATCTTTACAAGGCTGCCCATCTGAGTGGACAGGTCCAAACTGAGAGAATGGATAGATAATATAGTTTGACTGCTGTATTCTGATTCACACACAAAAAAAACAACAACTACAAACCATGAGTAAAACTGAGACGAATGTTTTTGTTGCCCAGCTGAACAAAAAGATATACCTGTATATTAGTGGTTTCAGCGTGGTTAAAAGATCCTTTACTTCTGTATCCCTGGTCTTTTACTGCGAGCAAATCTAAAATACTAATCTTCTACACCTTCAAGTTACGATCCCACTTGTGTCTTGCTTAGACGTCACGACCAGGTTTAGAAATACCAGTCTGAGAAACGGTTATATTGCTCTTAATATGTTCTGCTTCTCTGTGCTCTGATGTGACCTGCGTCTGCACACCATGAGGTAAAACTTGTGAAAGTCTGATGCGCAATGAAATATCAACAAAAATGCCTCAAGACATGAGCCGACTTTCAAGCAGGCAAAGAATCACAGGATAGATAAACGGAGTCACATTGACAGTCATTTTGGATTAAATGCATAAAGGCAATAAAGTTTCAGTCAAAGCATTCATAAATGCATATGTAGAAAAGAAGCATCATGTCAAGAACAGATTATCAAAACCTGGACAAAACTGATCATTTTTTAACATTCAGAAATCATCCACATTGTTTGCATCTACAGAAGACAGGCATCACTGAACTGGTTGATTCTGGTGATTAAAATGCTTTTGTGATTGCATATAAAAACGTCCATGTCGGTCTGCACACGAGCCTGGAAACAGAAAGAAATGGAATGCTCATCTGCTTTCACGCTCACTTAAACACACATAAAATTAAAAACCAGAAAAGAAAGCATCACTAAGGACGACTCTTTCTTCCACATTCCTTAACTTCATTTGTCTTGTGCATTGCATTGCATAAGGGTAAGTAGATTCTCTAACAGAGCGTGGAGCACTAGGTCCATGCTGATTAAGACTTATACATTCATGGTATGCATAAGGCTCCTCCTCGGGAATGATTTAACTGCCCTTGGGGAAAGCAGAGAAATTAAGAGGGTGTTTCGTGATGCAAGGCCATTATGATAAAGGACAAAGCTAATTAGCATTGTTTCTTTCCCCCCTCCTTTCCCCCACATTAAAGAAATACAACCCAGAATAACCCAATGCTGTTCAAACAAGCAGGTAGCCACCTTAATAGAGTCTACAGTTTAAAATCCTGCCGTGCTGCTATCAGAGATTATTATAGCCTTATTGTCCTTATTACAAAGGTGACTGTCTGATTATTGGCATGCCCATCCAGACACGACGGTGGCTGCAGAGAGCGAGAGAGAGAGAGAGCAGGAGGGCTTTTTATTTAAGAGCTGCAGCTCTGTACTGCAGCAGAACTGACACCCATGGCCTCCATGTGCCTTCAGCCAGATCCTCAGCATCACTCAAAAGAAATCAGCTGTCCGCTTTAGCACGTACAACGTAAAATCTTCTTGCATGTCTAAGCACTCAGTGTTTTATAATGCAGGGACGGGTTGTTTAAGAGCCTGAGCAGACACTTCCAATCAAGGGTGATTTGATGTCAAAAAACGAAAACTTCAAAGATTTGTTAAATTAATTAATCAAACATTATATGTTCCATCACACGTTTTCAAAAGATGAAGATCGTAAGGTTTGGACGATGGAGAAAAACAGCACCGGTTTCATTCTGATCTTCTCGACTCGAGTGGGACGGATTGATTTTCAGCAGTTAGTGAAATCAAAGAGGCCCACACACATTTAGAAAAACAGGATGAAAAAAAACTAAAACAAACAAAAATAATTTCACATCAGGCGAACGTGGCAGCTTCGGCTGAGAATTTACGAGAGCTGCGAGCCGTTTCATCCTGTAAATGTTTCTATATTTGATCTGAGGGAGAGAGAAAAAACACATGTCCTCTTTGATCGTTCGAGGCTCTGATTACACCTCGAGAGCTGATATGAAAGAGCTCCTCCTATGGAAACTCACCCACTTCAACTGTGAGACGTCATTAAGTGCAGATGTGTTGTGCTCCACTGGGTCTTTGCTATTCATGACGCCTCAATTCCAATGACGGTTGTTTGTCTTACATTTCTCTTTTTTTCCCCTCCAAACAAGGCAGAGTTTAAAAATACATCTACATGACAGGCTCGGGGAACAGGTGCAGTCATATAAGGTAGCGTTTTGAAGATGTGTGTGGATGAAAGCACCATGTGACATGTACGAACAGCGGGGATCATACGTTGCTGTTGCAGAAGCAAGTCTTATGTATATGTGTATATATATATATATATATATATTCTGAAGACACTCTGTGAAGCAGGAAATGTTTGGTCTCCAGTTCACCGAATATTAATGTGACTTATCTTTCAACCTCTTTGCGGTGCAATTAATAAGATGTTTTTTTTGGCCAAGTGCATGTGTGTGAATATATGAGGCTGTGTGTGGTCAAGTAAATCCCACCCAAATCCTGCCTGTGCTGAGTATCTGATGTCTAGCATTATAAAGTGAACTCCAGTCTTTAGGCAAATACATCCTGTGAGGAACATGGACAAGATCAAAAGCTGGGACGGTGGCATATTAATGTGAGGAGGGACATCAACAGGGAAACATAAACAATGTGTAAACGTGAGGAAATAACTAATTATCTGAATATCCGCTCAGCATGGAAACAATAACAACACGACATGCTGTTGAAATGCCATAATGTGAGACTAGCTGTTAGCTGGGTTATTGTACTTAACAACAATGTTCTAGTCTCTGTTAAAGCAGCATTCATGTTACACTGAGGCTGATGCTAATATTAAATACAAAGCTTTTATTCACTACTCTACTGAAAAGCTCAAACAAAAAACAAAACAATGAATCAAAGATAAAAGCGATATTGTCATTTTTAATTTTTTTGTTTGATTTCTCATTTCAACTGGCACTTCCAACATGAAAGGACAATAAATTCACATTTTGGCTGTCTAGAAACGCTATTTGTTTGTTCTTGGCATTCCTCATAAAAATCAGAATTGAAGCCAGACAAAACCTTGGGAGTTATCTTGTGGCCAGCTGATATTATTTGGTCTCCATAAGGACTGCTAACAACGTCAAAATTAGGAAGCTATATAGCAGTTGACTGAGGGGTCAAGAGGTAAAAACAGGTGCCTGCTGAAGTCAAACAATCAGTTCAGAATAGAAGTCTTTGAAATGACAGGAAAGAAACGTATTAATAGAGCTCATCTTATTTATAAAAAAATATTTCAATAAGCAAAAGGACAAAATATAAGACAAGTGTGGTAACATAGTCAAGTAAAAAGGCCCCGAACCAGCAATCCCATGTGCCTGAGGGATGCTCAGATAAAAACTCTCTCGACTATCATGAAACCATTTTCCCTGTATAGCAAAGACCTGCCACCCTAACCACACCAGGCTGCTCTCTATACTATAAATCCTTCAGTAAATCAACAGATAATACAATCACTGCAGGGCAAACAGGACCACATACGAGGAACTGTCTGCTTTAAGTTAGTCTATCTAAATTCAACAGATATGGATGGAACAAAAAATAAAGATATGCTCTTAACCGGTGGCATAAAGCATATATCTTCGGGAGGCCCTGAGGTACAGTGGGGGCAGGGAGCAGAATTTCCATGTAAAGAAAGAGAAGAAGACAAAAATGTCACTGAAAATTAATGGCACTTTTTACATTTGGAGTTAAATCTCCTGAAATGATTTGAAGTTGCAGACTTGTCCAGCCAGTGTCCGGAGTCTTTCAGTGGTCATAAAAAGGTCACAATGGAAAAATATTACACGCAGAGGATTCCTTGTTCTTGTTTCCCGCCCGGCCAGCCAAGCACGCTTGCCCTAAAGCAACAAGTGGAGATAAGCACGCTTAAAACAGGGTGTTTGTAGGAGGAGATGTTCAACTCCTCGCAGAGTGGAGACGGGCTCATTGACAATGTAACGCTTCACCTAAAAAGGGGACCTGTTGTCCCTTTTGCTTTGTTTCTTTGTTGTCTCTTATTTTCGTCCATGGCTTCCAATCTCCTGGCTGACAGGAGTCCGAGTGCAACTGCGCCCCAGATAAATACACTTGTCCAACAACAAAATGAGAGGAAATAGGAAAAAAAAGAAGAAGAATCTAACTGAAGTAGGCAGGATCATCCTCTCTATATTTGGGTTAAAATCCGAGCTGAGTGGTAAACAAAGTGTTGACTGTTTGGTTTGTGTGGGGATTTTTGTTCTCCCCATTCAAGTGTCACTGATCATCAGGAAGATAAACTTATTTTAGGCTGTGTGTACATGTGTGCTGCTTAACTCAGTGGCAATGTGGACTGAGTTGAACGTTCTCGGCTCTCCGTCCTCTAGCGGACAGGGCTGTTTGTGTGCTGTGTTGACCTTGTTGGTCCTGAGAGGCGGGGTTCCCTTGCTTCACTTCCTCTCCTGTCACCAGTTGGCTTTGACGGCCTTGACGTCACTCACCAGGTTTTGAGCGAGGCAGATACCAAAAATCTGAAGAGGAAACCACCAGGACATTAGACTTTTAGTTTCAGAAAAACAACAGCATGTTACAGCAGACTTCTCTAATTTAGAGTTGTTATCAGTAGTCACCACTAGATGGCAGTGATGATGCAAGATCAGAACCCAGGCATTGTATGCGTTGTATGTAAATACCTCATTTCAAATGCACCAGGGATCCTCAGGTAAATGTTTCCTCACACAAAAAAAGTCTATAAACACATTTTTCTTACCTGTAAAAGTGCAATACCGACAAAGATTCCAGCAACAATAATCAGGTTGTCCTGAAGCCATCTTTCAAACTGTCCCACACAGCCCTTGGTATAGATATATTTCTGCCGGTCCAGCTCCTTTTTCATAAAAAAAAAAAAAAAAAAACACATTAGAGATATATTTAAGAAAATGCATGTGTTTGAAATTGAAATGAACAGTTCACAGAGGAGACATCGCCCTTTTTTATGTTGTAAACAGCATACCAACTGTGCCCTATGACTAATGTTAATCAAAACAAAAAAAACACAGATAACATTTTGCTCACTGACTCCTTCACTTGGGTGGAGGGCATGAGGAGTGAGTGATAGCTGAGTCACTCTTAGATTACAACATGTCAGTGTCTGGAGAATATCAAGGCATTGTGTTCAGTTTTCTTAGAGGATCCTGTCAGGACTGAGCCAACAGGCAGAAGCTGTTTCCTGTTACCAGACAGATGGCTGTTTGTGCTGTCAGATTCAGCCAATGATGTATGTGGTGTTTTCAGATGGAAAAAAGGTGTAATTTAGAGTGGCAACAACACTAAACTTGGGGATGGGTGTGAACATGAGTATGTACAATGCTCTCTTTGTTGCACTTCAAGACGAGTCAAGCAGTCAGACCCTTTGTTCTCTCGTGAAATCTGAAAGCTAGCATTTCAACCAATGGGACGCAAAGGGAGCCCCTTTTCGACCAATAAAATAGCAGGAAACACTATGTTGTTCAGTGCTCTGGACTTCCTCTGAAGCTATTTCAGCCCTCTGTCTTTGTTTTGCTGCTGTCCTCCCCATGTCTGCTGCTCTTCCTCTTTTCCCAGCCTGCTCTCCACTAACAAGCTGCACAGGAACTTGTGCACGTCACTGATAGTTCCAACAAAAATGTCAACAGCCAGGGCATCAGCAATAGAGCATGGAGAGAAAATTAATTCATACCAACTCAGTGGCAGGTGGTTCACTGTATTGCAGTATGCCTAGCAACAGCAATCTCTCTGACTGCAGTGCAGTGAGTTGTAACCACCACACCCACACACAGAGGAAAAGGGAACGGACTGGCATAACCCAGCGAGTCGCCAATTACAGAGTGTAGTAAGGCTTCTCTTGAGGCTATAACTGGAGCCTAATTACCCCTGTTAGAAGAACAATCTGTTATTAAGGCAAGAAGCATGCAGAGTAGCCTGTGTGCTATTTAACCCTTTGCATCTCATATCTCCATGTGTCGGCCAACAGTTTCACAGTACATTTGGTATTTTTAAAATGTTAAGTACAAATGCTATTAAAATCTTATTAGGACTCCAAAGTTCTATTTCAATCAATAATCAATGTCTAATATGGATTGAGAGTAGCAATCAAGGTGAATAATAGCAGATCACCACTCTAGCCTCAAACAACAGCTTAGATTGTTTCAATCAAACTGGTCTGCCGCGTGTCAATCAACGCGCCCTCAGGAGTAATTCCACTCTGAAGCTTATGTCATTTCAGCCAGACAGCTGACACTGTCTGCCAATCATGCCCCACTCCTGCCTCTGACTCTAATATGAATGAGAATTGGTTCTGCTATAATTGAATAGGACTTTAAAAAAAGATTTAGGTTCATTTGAAACATATAACATGTAATATTCATTTTTCAGACAGAAAGGTCTTTAAAAAATGAGAATAACTGGAGAGTGCAGTAAAACATAACCAAGGCTATAGGGATGTGCAGAGATCAACAGAAGTGGTAGAAATGTGTCTGAGGATACGAACCCCTTGAAGTCGAACATCATAGCCGCACTGCGTGTTGATGACATCCTCCTGCAAGAGCAACACAAACATGTCAGAACCTCTAGGTTTCTGCTTCTAGTCTTAGTGTTAAGAGATGGTGAATGAAGTCTGACAGATTTCAGGAAAAATAGATATGTAAACATACATGCGTTTTTTGTCTATAACGATCAAGCCAAAGGCTTCGAGAGAAATGAGATCTGCTAGTTTCAAGTCATTTTGGAGAACGTTCCATGCAGAGGGGGCAGCAAAACTAAACACTCTTTTTCTGAGCTCAGTGCGGACACGAGGATCAGACAGTTTAAAAACATCCCAGGAACACAAGGCATAGTGGCTCCTGGTTCTTTGGAGGTATGAACATAAATACAAAGGAACTAAACTAAGAAGAGCTTCACAAAAATGACTAAGCCAGTGTATATACCTGTGCAACCTGAACAACAATAGATGATGGTGTCATCGGCATTAAAGTGATACATGGCATTCCACAAATTTTCAAACAGGTTATTATTAAAAATGGAAAATAAAATAGGTCCTAAAATCGAGCCTTGGGGCACCCCCTTTGAGATCTCTAAAGAGGAAGATATGGATCCTGCCATTTGCAATCATTGCATTCTGTTGGACAGATAGTTGCTAAACCAGGATGCTGCTTGATTTGATACGGCAATTTGATTGAGGATCTTGATCAATAATCTGTGATCAACTGTATGAAATGCCTTTGACAGATCGATAAATAGAGCAACACAAATATTTTTTACAATATATTGCTCTAATAATGTCATTTAAAACCTTAAAAGCAGTTGTAACAGTGCTATGCTGTTTCCTACTGATATTTACATAGGACATTATTAGCATCCAAAAGGTCCTTCAGTTTATCACTAACGATTTTTTCAAACACTTTTGCCAGAATGCAAAGCTTTGAAATTGTCCTGTAATTGTTCAAATTTGAAGGTTCACCCCCTTTTAACAGGGCAAGAACAAAGCAGATTTCCAGACTTTTGTGATTTCATTAAGACACATTAAGACACATAACACTCGAATAAAAAATATATGAAAGAGTCTCAGCAATAAAAACAGCAGCCAATTTCAGGAAGAACGGCTCAAGTTTATCAGGACCTGCTGATTTTCTAGAGTCCAGTTTCTTTAATGCTCTCTGCACCTCAGTGGTAGACACTGGCATATATTGAAAATGATGATCAGTAAGTTGACTGTCAACCTCAGGTGCCAGAGAAGCATTTTCATAATTTTTATCAGACTATGCCCATTCAGCATGCAAGGAGTAAAATTAAAAGCCAGCCGAGATAAAATGTTCATTAAAACAATTAAGCATGGCTGATTTGTCAGTCAGGATGCAAAAGTCTTTGACTATGTATGGTGGAACATGACTGGTTGACACATGGCCAGAAGAGGATTTCATGACTTTCCAAAAAGTCTCTGGGTCATTCAGATTTTTGTTGGTTTCAGAAGAGATAACAACAAGTTATTTAATGGACTTAAGAACGTGGATCCACAACAAGGAAGATATGTATATTTTATTTTCTGTTTCAAGAACTTTCTAAATCCATTTTCATTGTTTAAAAAGCAGTAAAATTTTGAAAAGAATTTTGCAATCAAGTCGTGTCTACACTTTTGTATTAAGTCTTAGCAACAGCTCAGTGATTTGTCTTGATTAAGAATTAAGCTAACAATATATATAACTATTTAAGATTTCTCCTGTATTATAATCATTGAATAACTTACTGCAGGGTCTTTCACACAGCAGGAGAAGGGGACTCCACAGCGCTCCCTGCTGGGGTTCAGCTCAGTGCAGTTGAAGTAGATGTTCAGGTTCCAGTCGTCGGGCCCGTGAGCTCCACAGCATGACCACTGAGACAGCAGCAACAACAGGGAGAGATTAAACAGCCAGCTCTGCTTAAGTGACAGATTTATTTCCTCTGATCTGGTCTTGAATCAGCTCTTTAAAGCATGACTCAGGTCAGTCTGGGTGGGCAGCCAGCTTACTGTGTTGGGTAGCAGTGACAAATAGTGAGACACAAATGGCAAGACAACAGTGGATGTAATCGCCTTTACAGTACATCATGGCAGAGCCCGGTGTTTACACACGGGAGCTAATTATCTAAACTGCTTCATTCATATAATTGGATAATCATTTGAGGGGAATACAATCACATTAATCAAGAGATTTACTACACAATGGCAGAGGCTGACTAATTCTCCTGTCTGGCCAGAACTGAGAGGATTTAAGATCCCTGTTCAAACTCATAAAAACAAAAAAATATCAAAAGAAGGGAGTGACTTTTTCTGGCTAAAAAACAGGGGAGTTGGATTTATTTTAACCGTTAGTGTTACAACATTTTAAGTCATTATGTGTTGACTCACATATTCTTGGGCAAAGTCAATGAGATTCTGCAAGTCGATGTCATCGCGGTATGCCTTGACGTTGTTGTTGATGAAAAAGTTGAGCTGGTCTTTGATCCAGTCTTTGAAGACGAAGGCGAGGATCCCCGTAGTCAGCTCCAAGAAGAAGATCAAACCCAGGAACACAGAAAACTGGGGAGTATATGATGCACACAAACACACAAATAGAAGACAATAAATATGTTACTTCAGAGAATCTGGGTGTGCCAAAGAGAATCCTGTTTGATTCTTTTAAGAATTAAAGGAAAACAGCTCTGATGAAAAGTCCCTTTGAGGGTCTGGCTGTGAGGCCTCTGCTGGTATGCTGAGTGAAAGTGCGGCAACAACAGCCGCAGTCCCAGGGGTACCGTTATATCATCCGTTTACGGTAAATGCAGGAGAAGGGGCTAATGATAAATGCACAACAGCCACATTAGCTCCTCACTCTGACGCCTGACTTATTGCTGCTAATGGACCTCGGCTAGAGTTAATAGCTACTCAGAATCACAGCCAAGTCAAGGCAAGGCAAGTTTGTCTCCGTCAGTCACATGTTATTATCAATAAAGCTGAATACAAATAAACCTCCCAGAATGGTGTCGGGCTTTGGAGTAACTTAAAGCTAGGAAAAAACATGTTGGGGAGAACGTGTTTTGATCGCTTATAAAAGAGGCACAGTTCAGGGATTCTGATCATGGCGTGATTAAACAAGGCCATGTTCAGTTATTACACATATTTGTGCCATGCATCTTTCCATAGCATCCGGCATGAATGAGTCACGCAAGTGATACTTGCAGCTCTGACAGCCTCAGCTCTGGTGTGAACTGCAAATCTAAGGGGGCGTGAAGTGGTTGAAATGGTGTCTGTGCTCCGTGTACGGGCTCTGACTTACAAATTTAAGTAGGAAGGTGTTCTCTCTGAGCGCTCCAATACAGCCAGCGAAGCCGAGGACAAACATGACCCCTCCGACAACAATAAAGAGCCATACTGGGTCGAAGCCCCCCAGGTCTGTGATGGATGACAGATTGGACAGCACACCCTGAGGGAGAGGAAGACAGACAAAAGAGAGGGGTTAAATTCGAATACTTCAAAAATCGATCTTCACTGTCTCTCCAGCAAACTCCCAGCGACATTTCTCACTCTACAAAAACACGAATAACCTTGACGAGAACTCAAAAGACAGATTTTGACTAATACCACAGCTAAGAGGCAAGCTGGGGCAGCTCTGTCCAGGGATCGAAAGACAATGCTGTTATTTTATTTGAATTGTCTTATATAACCAGTTTGTAGCTTTCTAAAAAAAGAAATCAACGTCCCTTGATGTTTGTTTGTTTAAACGACGTTTAATGTTTCTTTCTTCCTCTTCTGTATCCAGCCTTCAAAACTGGTTACATTGATCAGAGGAGGCACAGCGCTGAGCCTTCTGCAAACATTACCGAACAGATATCTGCCCTTCCTTTCTGCATATCCTGCCCTCACAGCCTGAGGCCACAGTGCATCCAACATATTTTCCTGTCAAGTCTCTCTTCTGCATCATGCCTCACTCTTACAAATTTCTCTCTAACCCTTGCATACATTACGGCTTGATGCAAAAATAGTGGCCCTACTGGAGTATGTGTTAATATCAAAGGATAGTACCTAACATGCATGTGGAATCTGAAGTATGTTCTGGTTCATGCACCATTTCTCCTTCTGTTTTTCCATGTTTCTCACCATCTTGAGAGGGATCCCACCAGTGTTACTTTGTGTAAATGTAGGCAACTGCTCTCGAACCCGACAGGCTGTTTGATCGTCACGTTCAGTGCACATGTCAAACACTTGCAGCTAAAGCCCAGGAATCCGGGATCTCACCCTACTTAAGTTAAGCTCCCACTGTGCTGAGCTGAAGGACTTCTATAGGACAGAGTTATAACTGCATGCTTGTGTTTTTTTATGGTGCAGAATAAAATGCCTTCATTTGAATTTAAGCACAAGGCCCTGAGACAATAAACAAGTCTGGAAGAACGCAGCCGGCAGGAAATTAATCATCTTAGTCACTGAGACCAAAACTCACTAATATGCCTTTCCAGTACCCACTATTCATCATTGGGCCTAATCCCTTTAAATTATTCACGCTGTTCCACTGAGGTACTCCAATGCAGGCCTATTTGCACAGAGTTCAGGACCAAGACGTTACTAATCAGTACATGTTTCCACGCCGGAGCAGCATTTGTTCATTGGACTAGTACAACTTCTTGATAATTAATGAACAAATTGACTGCTTTCTCAATTGGTTGGAGTTTAAAAATGGCCACTGTACAAGAGGTTGAGAGCAATACCTGGCCTTTGTAGCTAGTCCACTGGAAGATAAACAGTAACCAGTTTGCATGCAAATGTGAGGCATTTACTCGGTGACAGCAGTGAGGCAAATGAGTTGTGGTCCTGCAGCTCTCTATTTGTTTGCGTGCCCATTTTAGGCCTCTGTTAACTTATGCAACAACAAGAAGAAAAAAAAAACATGTTGGCTCAGCATGACTTCAACAGTCACACATCTTAGCTAAAGCTGCCTCAACATAATTCATTTCATGGGACATGTTTACTAAGACCATTACCAAGCAATATGCCTTTAAGTGCTACAAAGCATTCCGGGATGCGTTCACTTTCAACAGCACCTCTCTCAAAAAGCTTTGTTTTCATCTCCGGTCTGCCCCGTGAATTATACTACCAGCTCATTCCTGCCAGAATATGGAGAAGAATCTTAGCTATGCTGTAACACTGTGTGTTTGCGTGCATGTGTTTATACTTACCTTCTCCGCCCATGCCCACAGGCCTATGCCCAAGAATGCTGCTCCGAGTAACTGTAAGACAAAGCACACAGAGGAGACTTTGCTGTAAGACTCAAAGTAAGAGTGAAATAATCAAATCAAACCAGCTTAAATCAAATAAACCATCGATTAAAGTTAGAGAAAGGGGACTTTATGAGACACATTCACATTGGAAAAACTCCTATCTCGGAAGCTTGGGTGCGGTTTAATCACATTTGATTTACAACATTGTCTCCATGACAACATGTAAAAGCAAACCAAACAACTGTCCTTGATTCGGACTGTTAAAGATGTTAACCTTTGATTGTTACATATTTTCTGGTACACATTTTCCTTACAACCTAACTCATATCAGCAAGCACAGCCAAACACAAAAAGTAAAATAAAACCAGTAGCGAGTAAAAAGGAAATGAAGATCTTCCATCAGTTATAGAATTAAGCTAACTGATCCAAGTGTGCTTATACTGCCTGTAATCCACACCAAATTCTTTTCACTTGCTCTGGACAGAGTAAATGATTACAACTGAAGGTTACTACAGGTGAGAGTCATTGCACCGGGCTGCTTAAGAGGTTGCAGGAGCTGATATCCTTCGAATTAAGGAAAATCCCTCCAGTATTAGCCTCGGGCCCCATGGAGCTAGCTTACAGTTCAAACAAACAGACTAAAAAAGCTTTGGGTGATAAACTTGAATGGCAATGATACTTAACCACCTTGTAAAAAAATACACTAAAAAACACAACATTAAGCATTCAGATTATTCTGACCAGGCTGTGTTAAAACTCACATTACCATGCAGCTTTGTTTCGCTCAAATAATGTTGTCTGATACACTTCTTCCGCTAACACAAAAAGTACTTCCGCAGAGATTTAAGCTGGTAATGAACTTTGCTCAGGCAGAGTCTGAAATATAATAGTCCCAATGAAATGGGGGGTAAATCATATCACTGGGAAGCCGATTAAATCTGGAGAAACAGGTAAACTGATGGCAATCCGTCAGCCTGCTTAACAAGCCCAACAATGTGACAGTATGCCAAACAACAACAGCTGCTGTGAGGGGTTGCTGAAGGGCTGGCCTGTGAGCTACGCCAGTGGTTGTAGTGAAGCGTGCAGTGGCTTCAGCTGGGAAAGTGACACGCAGGAAGAGTCACGCTATGCAGCGAGGCGGAGATCAGGTAGAAGAGATTAGACTGACAGAGTATTAAACAATTTATCCCGAGTCTAAACAATCCACCTGGATGGAAAAAAAAAAGAGAGCGCGAAAAAAACTTGTAGCAAACAACTCTCACTTTAGTGCGTGGAACTAATTACACATTTCTTACAAAAGTATAATTTTTCTCAACGTGTCACTGTATATTTTGAATGATTATAAAATGCAAGAATTGAATCATGGTTAATCATAGACTTGCATTGACTACAACTATAAATCAAAGCAAATCTCCTCTAGTCTTCTTGAAAACTAAATGCAAAACCCAGTAACAGAAATCTTGATGTATGTATTTTATGTCCACAGATAGTACCTACTTTGTATTTGATAGAAGTTCAGTTTGCAGTATGTGGTAGCACACAGTTTGGCTTAATTATTTTAAAGGAAAATAATTATGTCTGGATGTCACAGCATCGAGTTCCCCGATACTTTTGGGACAGCACAACACCTGCATGTGTTATATAACAGGGCGGGACTTTTTGGCCGCAATTTCTCATCTCACTACTTTCAAATCAGAGCCTTGGGAGCCAAAGACGCAGCCCACAAAAGGAGTGACCTTGAGAAAACCTGATGGCCACACTGCACCTGCATCATCATTCCATACAGGAAAAACATAGCCAAAAAAAGTGATGTTGCATTAAAGCAGCCCTTTAGAGTTTAAAATTCCCCTGAGGTTATCAGAAGGAAGTGGCCCCCGTGTGCAGAAAAGTGGTCTGAATTCTAAAAACGAGATGCCAAGAAATCACTCAACATGACTGCTCGGTGGGCTGCATAATAATTTCTGTTTCCAACATTACTCAGACATTAAGGCGGAAATAAGGAGATTCTGCAACGTCAATATGGATGGGGGATTTTTATTTGTAAAAGTAGCAGGCCCGCTAAGAACGACTAACCCTAACATGATGACGAGCCATCGTTTTCGAAATAGAAGCAGATCTTTAAGATGACCATGTGGAAGATATTAATTTGTCGACCATGAATGTATTATTACAACCCTAATGATTAAAAAAAACCTAGGTTTAAGTTGGACCATCCCCAGAATCTAGAGCTGTGTTTAAGTGCTCCAAGCATTGTTAGGGAAAGTAGAAATATACAGTGGTATCAGAACTACAACAATCAAAACTGATTCAGACTCACGTTAGGTGCTAAACTGCTTATGTGTAGAATTCAACAAAAAAAAAATCATAGACACCTAGAATTAAACAAGTAATTCTGATGTTCGTATAATCAATTACAGGACACCATGACAGTTCAGTGCGGTCTCTTTTCAGTTCTCTCTTCCCAACTTTCAAGAAGTGTCTTCTTCTGAACAGTCCAATAAACTAGGTAGAGAAAAAACTTAACTTCTTCACTCTGGTGCTTCTAAAATAAAAAACACCGACCAGACACTGAACCAGAAACGTACGTCTGTTATATTTTCTTGTTATTTTCGGTCAGAAGTACTTCAATGCGTGTCAAGTTGCATTTCCCACTGTCACAGCTTGAGGCGACCTCGAAGGCAGCATTAAAAGTGAGACAGCTTTGAGGCATCCATGCCTGATAGCCTGTCATTTTGATTTACTATTTCTTCCAGCATTTCTGAATCTCTTTCTCTGTCAGGCAATACTTCCATCAACTTTGTTTTTGGAACAAATAATAGATTTGACCCTTTACAGAGAAGACTCAACCTGATCCAGACTTAAAATCACAACTAAAATGTAGCTTAACAAAGTACTTGATTGTAAAGTCAATTATCTGCCATTGTGTATTTGCCTATTTAATAAAAAAGCATTTTTAAAGTATTTTCTGTGCAAATTTTAAAGTCCCATTTGAAAACCAACCTTCTGATATGATAAGGTTTGGACTGGAGGGAATGTGACTAAGGTCACTTTCACATATTAGCTCCGGTTGTGCAATTCAGGGGTGAAGTTGCAACATTGTTGCATTTTTCTTTTGGTTCGATTTGCTTTCAGATTGCACTTTGTCAAGCACACCAAAACCTGTCAAATGTTGTGTACCGTATCCAGTGCCACCAGTCACTAGTTACGGCTGCAGCGCTGGTCAGTGGCTACAGCCAACCGGCCTATGACCCGAAAGTAGACAGCGGGACAGTGGAAGAATGGCATCCAATAGCAGTTTGGCAGTATTTTGGAGATTAAGGTATAACTGGCATATCAACCGGAGTGATGAGAAACCACACTTAGCACACGTACAGGCATGTTAATCTGTTAGGAGGACTGACGGTTGGTAACATTAGCCACGCTAGGCAGACCTTTAAGACGTTGATACAGAAGGCCAAATTCAACCTACAATGAGCTGCATTTTGGTTCACTTCCCTTTGGTACAGAAAGCTTTCTCACCTTAAGCAAATCAAACTTCTTTGGTCCTGAACAGAGTTCGTTTGAGCCTTCACACCACCCAGAACCAAACAAAGTATCCGACGAAAAGCACAGATTTTGTTAGGGCTCAGGTGTGAATACACCCTGAGTAAGCACACTGAAACTTATCTACTATGGCTGTCTTTGTATAGAGCTCACATTCATTCCTTTTTATTTAACACAGTGTAATTTGGGAAGCAATAATAAAATCTAGATAAGTATATGAAATACACTAGTAGCCTACCTACCTGTGCTAAACTCCGTCACTGCAATTCTAAGCCCAAACTGTCAAAGTGCAACTCTGTATAAGTGTTATTTTCTCTCCGTAGAAGTAAGTAAACACTCAAGTTAAATCTTACACAGAGGACCGCATAAATCTTCTGGTGTCCCTCAACAATTAAGCCATAAAAACAAGCAAAATTCCCCAAGGGGATTAATAAAGTATTATTTCTTAAAAAAACACAATACTATGTGTCCTTGTTTGTACTTGCTTACTTTATACCTCAATGCTTTTGTTTGTTTGGAGGCAAGACGTTTTAAAAGCCCCTCAGGATTTGCTTCTTTAAATCTCACCTGCTCTGGTATGTAATTTATTTTCCTTTCTTCTGTAAAATTCTTATCACTCTATTTAATTCCTGTGCTTTTATCGCTGTACTTCTATCTTTTATCACAGAGCGAATAGACAAAATCTAGAACTAGATGTCATTGTATACGTGTTCATTATTCAAATCAAGCACCCTGGTTATTTCTCTGTCAAGTGCTGCTGAAGATGTGTGTGTCCCTTGAGGAAGGGGGGGGGGGGTTCTCTCCATGTGGACAGACAGATTATCAACACTTGAGGAGATGCCTCCCTAAGCCAGCTGATCCCATTAACCTCGACTAACTAGCAGACAAACCAGGCTCCACGCTGCCTGGTCAAACACACACACACACACACACAGGGTAAAGACTTACTCGAGTGTGATGACTGCCCTTTCAATGACTCCCTGAAAAGCAGACTTTCTAATACAGGCCGTCCGTGTGAAACTTGATGATATGATATCAGCAGCATGGCCAACAGTTCCTCTGATACCACATCAAGGCAATACTTCGCCGCATTCACACTTCTCTACACTTGTTACTGAAAAATCTATATATTCATTTGGCTGATTAACTGCAACAGCATGTAACTACAGCCAGTTTCAGGGCTGAAATGCGTCAGGCTGAATTGGACTTTGAACACTTGAGCCTGAGTCTATAATCCAGAGAAGTTTAAGTCCTGTTCAAAGCCATTTTCTTGCAGCCAGATATACATCAAGATATAGTGTAGACCCCAACTGAGACAGACTGCGATTGACACGGACTATCAGAACACAAATCAGATAATTGAGAAAAGTAAAGTTCGTCTGTGAGTGGACTCTGCCTCTCTGTTCACATTTGATTTTATCTGAGGGAAACAGCAAATAGAACCAAAAGCTAATATTTTCCCTCAGAGAGAAGACAGCAAAATAGGTGTTATTTGACATTGGGTCACAGAGCACAGGATGTTATAATAAAAAGTTCTTGATTTGTATGATCAATGATTCCAAAAATATAAAATAAGAATCCAACCTGAAAAAAGAAAAGCCTCGAAATTCAGATTAACATAATTTGCTGCAGATGTTGTATTCTGCCGCATTGTTTTTGCAAAAAAAAAAAACATAGACGTTTAAAGTGTTGGATCAATTGATTTTATACTTATTTTTCACCTTAAGGTATAAATCTACAATGCTTCCCTCCAATCCAGTTAGAGCCGCTTTAAAGTATGTGGACAAATCAATCCTTAAATACCTTTAAACTGTGGCTTGAGTGGCAGGTCACCAAATAGCTGCATTTAGACACCTCATTCTTCACAGCCATCTACCTGTGATGTTATCACCCAACATGCATTTAGGTGCCAAATGTGAGCATACACTCTGAGCTGTAGCTGGCTAATAATACACTGACTGAATCCAACCAACTCAGCAACTGGGTTACAGCTTAACAAGCTCTTAATTACAGCATGCAGGGCCTCCAAACATTTCAGCAGCTCAGGCAGAAAATATGATTAATAAGTGCCTGTGATGAATGTGTGTGTTGTACGGTCGAGGGACGGTATTGTTGTTGTTGTTGTTGAGTGCGACTACCTATGTGTCGACAGAGAGTTTGGGCACTGGAAGAATTCACACAGAGAAAAAGACACTTGGTTTAAAGCTGCATTTTGTTCACAATGTTTGGGGTCCTACAAGCATTCTGTCTCAATTTAGGCAGCATTTCGAGCCTGACAAGCTCACTGTAGGAAAGACAAATGAGCTGATTTGTGGAGAATAAACCTCATCTCTCTCTATTTCGGCGATGCACCAGCTTGTCTGTCAAATGCGGTTTCGCAGCACACAGACAAGAGCGAAACATCTTCTTGTGATTATTAACGGAAACAGCCGTCGAGCTGGAACTTGTTCTGCAGTTTCACCAAGAGCCTAGACACAGGACTGTTAGCTTGGCCTGATGGCAAAACAGTCTGAAAGAGCCCAATATGAGTCAGACAAAACACTATCGCCCTATGACTCAGTATTTCCTCGATGATTGCTCAGTCAAATTGAATTAAAGAGCACTTTTCATTTGAAAAGCTTACTGAAAAATGTATTTGTGCAGCTGTCTTTAAATAAAATATCCTGCTTTGGGCATGTTGGCTATTCATATCATCTCAGTTTCATGAAAAAAAAAAAAACACCCCGTGATACCAATACATTTGTAAGAGGGCTGTTGAGGAAAGAAGAGGCTGTGACTTAAAGGGGAGGAATAGAGCCAGTTGCATGTGGATGCCATGTGCCGTCGTCAGCTAAAACATACGAGGGGAAGAAAATATTGAATCACACCCATTCCTCCCCCCAGTCTTTGTTATTACCAGCCCTCTTTGTGCGTTTTTGGGTGTGTGAGTGAGAGAGACAATGGTTTCCTGCAGAGACTGAGCACCATAGTAGTGGAGGGAGTGAAAAGGGTGCTTTGAAAAGAGGAGGGCTGGGTGGTATTCAGGCCTATCTGGCCTTTTCCCTCCAACAGTGTGTGGGAAGACCCTCTGGGGCCACAGACACGCCATTCCTTCACCCAAAGACATTATATTATGCCAGCCGCACAGAGGCAATGCAGAAGGGGAAGAAGGGAGGGGTGAAGCAGACTGAACAGAGGAACTTTTCAGACTGAGGAGGGATAAAGATTGATGGAGAGAGCGGAGCTGTTGTAAGGGAGATGTGGGCTCAATTGCCACTGGTCAAACAATACAGATGAGACTGCCATTTCTCAAACACAATGGTACTAATCTTTACTGCCAAGCCAGAGCAGGAAGACAAACTAACATCAGCAACGATCTTCCTCTACCAGCTTCTCTTACAGACAATCGTAAATGATAAACAATAAGTACCAAGTAAGAGTATCTGAAGAATAACATGCTTTGTACTAGCACAGGGAACTGAATATATTTACAAATATAACTATATACAATGTGGTATTGAACCGTGTAGATATTACACAGTGTGTCTGAGGCTCAACGATAATGTTATCCATCTTTTTATCAGTATTGCACACATGTCTGAACAAATTGTTGACTGGTTTACGGACATATAGCACAGTTAAAGTAAACATAAACAACACGGTGGCTCATTTTCCAGTTTCCAGGTTTTAATAGTCCAGGAAATTTAAGATGAACTTTCTGACTCTCAAAGGGAGGAAGTAAAATTACTTAATATACTCGCCATTATAAAAAAACAAAGTATTTCATTAAAGGAACTGTTGCACCTACACATCATACAATTACAAAAGGACTATAAGATAAGAAAAGAGGTAAATGTAAATTACCTAAAATAAAATAAAACAAGTCATATTAACAAATGTACTTTTATTTGCTAAATAAACATCTCCACCGACCTTCACTACTTTCTATCTTCTCTGCTTAACTAACTTCCTCTGGGAGTGAAGCTAAGGCAAGTCAATATGTTATGCAAATTACGAGCAAATGAAAAGTACAACAACAACAACAACAGCAGCAGCAGCAGCAACAACAACAGCAGCAACATATGACAGGACAAGACTCTTTAAAAACATTTATAGTGGACTCAATTGACTTAAAGCTACCAGAGAACAACAGTGCTATGCTAACTTTGCCCTAATATCACACATCTTTAAGGTAGCATCATTACGGTCGTTTCGACACGCAAACGGCACTAAAACAGATTTTACTCACCCAGAATAAAATGTTAATCCCAAATAAGAAGTATTTGAGGCAGCAGCTGACTTCGGCCGCATTAAAACGATGTTTTCTGCCCATTTTTCTCACAGGATATCGGTGGCTAACTCAAGAGCTAACTACACAGCAAGCGTTACTACGGCTAGTGCTTGAAAAGCCAGACGAGACAAATATTAACTCAAACTCGGTGATAATAATCTTTACTGCCAAACCAAACAGAGGGACTAACATCAGAGCACTTTTATCATGCTCTTCCTCTGACTTACAATCAAAACTGAAACTTAACTAAGCGATTTAAAGTGATTTGCTGCCCACAATTAAGCAATCGTTTTTCTTTCATGACAGGAAAAGCTGACAGGACTTCAGAATAAAATATATAATCTTAAAGTAAAATGTTAAAGTCGTGATAAGTAAGTTAACTTTTAAAAGTAACCTACTTTTAATGAATAAAAGTCCAGATCCCTGTTTTTCTTTTTCAAAAATAACTTACTAACTTTATCTGTGGGACGGTCAATGAAAGAGCTCACCTGTCATGTATTAAAACAACACGTCTTAAAACAACATGTGGCAAAACTTATGAACTTTTTCTTTCTTGACCAATCAATTAAAAGTTTAAATTCGCCTTATAGATAACTTTGCCGGGATGTAAATAAGACTTTAGTGAGCATAATTGGGTTGTTTTTTCCTCACAACAGCAACATGCAACCGAGTCATTGATTGTATTCACTTACCCAGAATAAAATGTTAAATCCAAATAAGAAGTATTTGACGCAGCAGCTGACTTCTGCTCCTTTTAAATGATGGTGTTTTCTACTCATAGTGGTGGCTAACTAAAGAGCTAGCTAGGTAACAAACCTTACTACGGATTGTGTTTAAAAAGATGAGGCAAATCTGCAGTTCTTGGACTACTGGCGCCAATACTTATTGGCTCCATCAGCCACACAACGCCGAGTTTACTCGCCGGACAATATTAAGTGAATCAAACATATGAGGCTAAATTTTCTTCTCTCTCTAACCATGAGCTTGCTAGGCCAGCTAGCTCGCAACTTCTATGGTTAGCATGAGCAGCTAACAACAACAAATGCAGGGGCACGTAAAGACACAGACATTCATCTGCAGTGCAGTCGATATTCAAGCCTCCTCGGCGTTTATTTTGAAGCGCGCAGCAGCGGGGAAGAGGGATAACGCTGATGGCCTTTCTGCTACCTAAACATCCCCTCGGTTATGTCTGTTACATCATCGTCGCTTGAAATCTTCATCCTTGTTGTTTTTTTTGTGCTGTGAAAACAAGCCCCTTTGCTGTCAAACGAGGAAAACCACTCCGCTGCCTCTCACCCTTTTCACCTCAAGAGCGGCCTCTCGTGTCTAAAGTAAAGGTTTTCTCTGTTCACAACACAGTAAGGAAAGGCAGCATTACTATGATCAGGTGTGTGAAGTATATATATGATATGTAGCATGTTAATAATTCAGTTCAGAAGACATTATATTTAAGAAAAAAGAACCAACCACAGTTAACAATGTACAGAAGTAGCCAATTTTTTTATGATACATTGTACTTAATATTTTGAAATACAAATCTGCTAACAAAATAAAGCATGAATACAGTTGTAGATATGATCTAAAAAAAAAAACCTACTGTAAAGCTGCTGACTTTATGTCCCCTTTGCAATTGAGTTGAATGATATGTGTGATGTCTAACACAGATATCACCTTCCCCCCCCCCAGCTGTGCCAGAATCACATGAGTTGAGATCCTGGGATGCATGAAGTATGTGAGTATCCAGATAAGTCAAGTTAATTTGTAAAGCACAATACAACTCGTATTGAACAAAGTTGTGTAAAACAAGAGAAACTTTCAAATTGAAATAAAATCCCAGTAAAAGACCAAGAGCTTCTGCAAACAAAGATACTGCATAAAATGAAACATGAGAGCAGAACAATGGCAAAGATTGAATACCATAAACAGAGTAATCTTACAAAAAAACAGGAAATAAAAAAATGAACAAGAGGAGTCAAGGTCAACTAGAATGCAATTGAAAACAAGGGGACCTTCAGGAATGACTTACTTACTTTGAAGCAGGGTTACTTATGTGAAATTTTACCTTTCATTTACAGATTTTTGATTGTTGTATTTCTTGCAGAATATATTGTCAGACTTTGATCTTGTGATAAACTATTCAAATGAGCTCAGTCATTAGAAATATGTTTATTTCAGAAATCAGTTTTATTAAAACGATGAGTTAAAACCGTGTTCCTCCATTTGAACTACAGATGGCAGTCTATGAACCTGTGATAAATGGGGCTTTGCTTTCCTTTGTACCCTCCAGGGTTGCTGTTGGGTACATGTCAGTTTCCAAACTATTGCCACAAATGTTTAGTTTGTTGCACTGACAGTGAAATAACTCTTAAAGTGTTTTACCATTACATGTCATCATAAAGTAATCAGTAAAAGTACAAGGAGCAGATGTGTGGGACTGCATACATTTAAAGTAATTAGTAAATAAAATTAGAAAATTAATTAATACTAATTAGTAAATAATTAGATATGAGTAATGTCTAATAACTTTTTGTTTGCGTCTCTTTAAATGTTTCTCTGAATTGCCTTAGGGTGTTCAGGAAGGACAGGAAATTAGTCCTTATAAGGTATCCCTGTGTTGGATTACTGAAGTCATACATTTTTAATTTGCCATCCATATAGAATAAAGTGTATTAATTAGATAACCAATTATAGTGTGAATGTGAGAATACTTGTTTAGTGCATGATTTGATGTAAATGTAATTGCATAACTTATTTTGGTGCATTCAAATGTGACGATTACTTGTTACATACCTTAAAATCATTTTCAGTTCATGGTGTTAATGAATATAAAAATAAAACAAGCAACAACAATATTTAAATTGGCGTGTCATCCCTTTTTATTCTGCATTCATTTTCAGGCAACTTACAGTTATCAAATGAAAGAAAAAAAAAATCGATGTATGGAGTCGTGCAAACACAGAAGAAGAAATCTGCTAGCAAAACTGAAAGGTGATGATTATTTTCTGTGTTTGAGGATGTCAGCAGTGTTTAGCTTGTCAAGACGTGACCCAGGTTGATACCAATCCATGACAGTGATAGGCTTAAATCCTGCTGAAGGAGCCAGGTCCCCATGTAGCAGGTGTCCCCGTCACTCAACAGACACACAAGAGTAAATATTGAGAAATGTGCTGATGCTTTTGGCCTACATGCCCAGGAGAGAAGGAATGGTGCCTTGTGTGCTGGGACACAGGCTTACACACTTGTTAGTGAAAGGTTACTGTGGTTTGAAGGCAGCAGATCGGTATTAGCAGTTATCTTACACCATCATGTCAACATGCTGTATTGTGCAGGAATGTTCTTCTACTTTAAATGTTAAGATTAACGTTTAAGGAATGCAAACTAAGCTAATGAAATGTAATGAATAAAAGTGCAAATCAAGTATAAACAAACTTTAAAAGTTAAACAGAATGTACATTACAGTTTTGCATGTATTTAAAATACAATCAATTCCTCTGCTCTTTTTCTCACAAACAGTAAGATTCATATTTCCCAACATTCAACATTCTTAAAACCTCTTTCAACCTCATCCCAACCTTAACCCTCTCCCCTTGTTTTGACATGACACACATTTGCTTTTAAACCTCATCCAAACAGGAACTTTGTACAATAAGTACAGTCACAAAATATCTTCACTTGTTCCTCATATAACCAATATAAAAAAGAACAACCATGTGTGGTCCAAATAAAGCAAACACAATTTAGGCATACAAACCCAAATCTCCAATATGAATATTACAATCAATAGGCCATTTAATTTGCATATAAACCTCTCACATTTGTTAACCAAACTGCGTGTCATCAATTTTGAAATGCTAGTAAAAACGTTTTAATCTTTTTCTACTGAAACAGTGTTTGATTGAACATTAATGCCCCATCGAACCACTTATTATCTCTTCAGACACAGGCTCTCCTTTCCGCTCATGCTCTGTCAATCTGTCTGTAAAGCTCACATTCATTTGAGCAAATGCAGTAAATAAAGCGACATATTTACACTGTGTTAAATTGGATTATTGCACTGCAATTATTATGTGTCTTTTGGCATTGATTGAAATAGAAAAAGTGTGGTGACAGTGGACAGTGTATGATATTAATAATAGCATGTATCCAACTGTTATTTTGCAGTGTGATCTAAATAATTGTTAACTATATAGCAATAGTTGATCCTTTACTGTAATCATGAATAAGAATGTCTGTGAAGTTCATGAGCTAAGTATATACAAATCGTATGTCCTACATTTCATGTCCTTTCTATGCCTTAACATTTTAAGTATCCACCTACTGACAAGCATAGAAACACCAAGTAAAAGGAAAATGCATTTACTCTGAAAGTGAGGAAAGTTTAACATTCATTGAACTAAAATTAAAATATCTTTGGTTATTTTGAGTCTTTGCACTTTTTGGTAGTCAAGCAGACAAGCCATGGTAACTGCGTCTTGTAAAAAGCTTGTTCTTGTCAGTCTCTATTATAAATGTAAGTGATATATAATATACTAATACTACCTCATTAAAACATATGCCATTGTCCATGGTTGGTATTGAAAGTTACAGAAAGGTAACTTGTCTTGTCTTATAAAATGCCACCAGAAATGCTTTCACTGGTTGATCCAATGCCACAAAAGTCTATAAGGCTGAAATTATGATTTAACAATCAGCCTGTAGCATCCTTACAGGTCAGTGGAGACAGTGTTTCTCTTCATCCTCAGGCTCCCGCCCCAGCCTCTGGGACAGGTGTTGTACGAGTGGAAGCCGGGTGATCGGAGGCCCGAGTCTTCAGACTCAACAGAGGCATCAGAGTCAGTGAGAGAGCGAGTGTTGTACAGCCTCACCGGAGAGCAGATCCTCTGCGTTGGGGTGGCAGGAGGGCTGGTGAAGGCCGGGGACTGGGCCCCCAATGATCGTGACTGGAAGGGGCTGATGGGCGGTTTGTGACAGTCGTAGCCATGGTGGGAATTTCCCAAAGGTGAGATTGGAAGGCTTTGACCGCTCAGTGCTCCAGGGGAAGGACTGTTTTTACGTTTGGCTGCATTGATGATGTTCTTTGCCAGGAGACGATGATTGGCTTTAGAGTCCAGGTTATTGACGATTGGGGACATGCAGCGACTGTCTTTGGATGTAGAAACAGAGGATGTGTACTGAGGCTTAGTGGCAGAGAAGGATAAACTTGTTTGCGAGAGTGCAGGAGACTGTGAACGAGAGCCCCAAGGAGGAGAGACAGGCGATGTGGCAAAAGATGTTTGTGGCGGTCTGGATGTGGTAGTATTGCCTACCATTGGGGACTGGCATCTGGATCCCCAAGGAGAACTGGTGGTACTAGTTTGGGAAGGTCTGTTACCAGTGGTAGAAGACTGGGTATTTTGGTTCACCATAGGGGACTGACATCTTGATCCCCAAGGAGGAGAGCGTGGGGATGTGGCTGTGGAGAATTGTGAGGGTCTGGATGTGGGAATTGAGGTAACAGTGGAAGACTGGGCATGTTGGTTAACCATTGGGGACTGACATCTTGAACCCCAGGGGGGGGAAACAGGAGAAGTAGTTTTAGAAGTTTGGGTTGGTCTGAAACCAGGATTGGTTGAGTTGTGGGAGGACTGGTTGTTCTGGCTCAGCATTGGGGACTGACATCTTGAGCTCCAAGGAGGAGAGCGTGGAGAGGTGACTGTAGATGTTTGGGGGGAGTTAACAGCTGAAAGTTGGGTATTCTGACTTGCTATAGGAGATTGGCATCTTGAACCCCTGGGAGAAAAAAAAGGGGAAGTAACTGAGCGACTGGAGATGGTGGTGGATGGTTGACTGGTTTGGAGGCTAGCAGGACAGGTTGTAGGGGCAGGGCTTTCATGGCTGCTGAACCGTCTGGTAAGGCTTGGCGTGCAGGTTGGCGTTGGAGTCTGAGCTGGAGTTTTAGCTGGAGAGTCATGTGGCATCTGTGGGACAATTACAAATGTGTTTTTAGACTCTTGGTACAATAAATGCAGAAATAAACACACAAACTTGCAAAATAGGACATTGCAGTATACTGATGATGATTGTTAAACTTTTGTATGAATAAAACTCCTTTTATCTAATTCTAAGGGTTTAATTTGACAATGACACAACATTTGCTTTCCAAAACGCCAAATAGGAAAAAAATTAATTTAGTGGAAACTTGACAGTTCATTATTTTATTCCATAGGACAGATTTCTATTATTCTAAGAGAGCAAGGTTGTCAACATCTTTGGCTCATTGATACT